GATAGGGGGCTTGCTCCAACCCCCAAATCTAGCCCAGCAAATTCAGGATGCCTGTGTGACTTGGATAAGCATGCAGCAGAATACTCATAGAAGTTGTGGATGACCTGAATGAGGAAGGGATGCCTAATGTAATGGATGACAAACTGAGTATAGACTAAACCCAACAGGATGGAATTTAAAGTTCTGTTGTGGGGTTAAAAATAAATGCATAAGCCCTAGCTGGTTTGGCTGAGTGGATAGAGCATTGGCCTGTGGACTGGAGGGTCCCAGGTTCGATTCCATCAAGGGCAAATGCCCAGGTTGCGGGCTCGATCCCCAGTAGGGGGCATGCAGGAGACAGCTGATCAATGATTCTCTCTCATCATTGATGTTTCTCTCTCTCCCTCTCCCTGCCTCTCTGAAATCAATAAAAATATATTTAAAAAATAAAATGCATAAGATAGGAATAAAATTTGTAATCTATAAATCATAACTGTATTAACTATAACCTGAAAGTTGGTCATATAGAATGCCAAGAAGCATTTTAGGTAAGGTCCATAAAACCTCATTGGGCCTAGCAAAGCTGATGCCCTACTCCGCCAGTCAGGCCACATTCTTTCTGGACACAGTGTATAAACAGAGGTGTCCAGTGGTCAGTGACTAAGCTCAGAAAGGGACATGACACTGTTCTAATGAAGCATGAAGTAGTTGGGACTCATCAGCATGCAGGATAAGATGTAGAGCGAGCCCTAACCAGTTTGGCTCAGTGGATAGAGCATCGGCCTGAGGACTGAAGGGTCCCAGGTTCGATTCCAGTCAAGGGCATGTACCTTGGTTGTGGGCACATCCCCAGTAGGGGGTGTGCAGGAGGCAGCTAATCAATGTTTCTCTCTCATCGATGTTTCTAACTATCCCTCTCCCCTCCTCTCTGTAAAAAGTCAAAATATATTTTCAAAAAAAGATGTAGAGAGAAAACAGGGGAAAGTGATAAACACTTATCTGTAACTGTCCCAAGGGCTGGCATGTGGGAAAGGAATTTAACTTTTGTGTTTCTTCAGAAGATGCTGCAGGGGTGGCACGTTTTCTTTTAGCTAAGGAAGAACTGACCATCAGTTACTGTCCTGTGAAGTAGTACATCACAGGTTTCTGAGGATATATACAAATTAAAGACAGCCACCAATGTCCAGATTGTTATAGAGCAATTCATGCCTCTGGCTGGGAACTATAACTAAGGACAGTTCCAACTCCAAAGGTCTGTCACTATATATATATATATAAAATTTTTTTAAGGGTCTGTCATTATTAAAATCCCTGTTGATTTGGTTAGGTCTAAATTCATACAGCCACACGGTCTTCTAATATGTCATCATTTTTTGGCTTTCCTTTTATTAATTTATTACCAAACTAGAGGCCTGGTGCACAAAATTTGTGCAAGAGTAGGCCTTCCTTCCCCCAGCTGCCGGCACCGGCTTCCCTCCAGCACCTGGGACCCGAGCTTCCCTCTGGCCGTTGGCAGGCACCCAGGACCTGGGCTTCCTTCTGGCCATCAGCTGACACCTAGGACTGGGCAGCCCCAGCTTCCTCTGGAAGGTCATCCGGAAGGACGTCTGGTCTAATTAGCATATTACAATTTTATTATTATAGATATCTACATTTTAGAGGGGGGAAAGCAGCTTATGCTAAGCAAAGATTAGCCAAGGGTTGGGGTAAAATAAGGTTTCAGAAGGCAGTAGGTTATTTTGAATATAGTGTCAGTGACAAACACAAAAGTGTCTAAACTACAGTATGTCATACTCTTGGGGATGCTTCTGTAAACAGTGTTTGATGATTGTGTTACATACATAATTTCCAAAGAACTGTTATGTAATACCAACCTAATGTGGACAAATGTTTAAATCTTATCTGAACAATGGTAAGAGACAATTGATTATCTAAGCCAATGAGGCTGAGGCAACAGCCAGAATGTTTACCCCTTTGACCTAAAACAACTTTCACAAATCTTGAGAAGTACAAATCAAAATAACTCAGCAAGGCTATTTAAATAATCCCCAAAGTGCTTAGGAAACAGACAGATATTGGACTAGATTCATTTACACTTTACTGCAAGGGATTTTACTAATTGCCAATTATTCTTTTGCCTAGAGGAAATTTTGGATTTAAATAGAAAATTTTCTTATTGACCTTCTGGAATTTTCAATGTGGGTCAGAAAATAAAGAATTTAATAAAAATTTGTTTCATCCAAGTAGAAATAGTCATGATTGGAAAAGGTCAGAGCTGACGGACCAAGATGGCGGCATAGGTAAACACCGGAGACTGCTGCCGCAAACAACCACTTCAAAAATACAACTAAAAGACGGAACGGACATCACCCAGAACCACAGGAAGGCTGGCTGAGGAGAGACTCTTCAACTAGAAGGAAAAATAACAGCACACCGAGGCTCAGAGGAGGCGCAGTGTGGAAAAAACTCAGGTGCGGAGGTGCGCGCGCAAAGCGGGCTGGTGGCTGAGAGCGCGGTTGTCGTTTTCGGTCAGGGGGGAGTCTCAGACTCTGAGCTCCAGATACGGGCGAATCGCTGGGGACTCGGACCCAAACGGGAGAAGCGGGAGTGTCTGGCATCAGTTGGAAGGCAGCTTTCTCTCCGAGGTTTGCAGCGGTTCCTGGGGTTCTGAGAAGCAGAGCCTCTGGGAACGGGACTGAGGGCACCATAACCGCTCCCTCCGCCCGCCCTGCCCTATTGATCC